TTTCTTGCATTCACATTCTCTATGTGATTGGGTGTCAACCATTCCATAACACACTACATATTTTGTGTTTACAATCTCAAGAGTGGTTGTTAAATTTTTTAAATCAAGCAATCACATTTGTGAAACGAATAAAATGAGAATGCACACTCAATTGATTCAATCATTACACAGCTCTGGGTTTGAAGAATGTTAGACAAGCCGCTTGTGTGGTGTATTTCGCTCCTTGTAAAACTTCGAAAAGCTTTTTGTTCAAAAGTTTCGAGAGCGATTTAACAACTCTGTTGTGTAAAACATGGTTGCATTTGTTGTCTGCAAATATGTCGAGGGAAAATTCCTCAAAAATTCCCCAAAATAAAAATCTTCAAAAAATACTCAAGCGCACCGGAAATTCCACACGTTTTGAGGAATTACTCACAAAGTGGCAACACTGTGTCCGCATCATGCAGGACTCATACAATGCATTTATCATGTTTTGTAAATCTAAAGCTGACTCAGCTAACAGCACCAGGTCATCGGAATTAGTGATGAGAATAGTATCGAGTATCGAATAGTATGTATTTGATACTGTTGAGCAATTTGAGTATTCAATGAGTATTGAAAAACTTATGTCGATACTTCGATACTCCATCATCGTTTAAAAATATTTTCATAACAAGCGTCGACAAAGCAAAGTAACGGGTTGCAAAATTTACAATGGTTGAATGGAGAATGGTTGAGGTTTCAAAATGATAATTTACCCGAACATAACGTGGATCAAACAAACGGCAATTCTCTTTAGAGTGATTTTGATCAAAAATCTAAGTAAGCTCAAAGTTTTTTAGCGTCTGCTATAGTTGAGGGTAATCAATATATCGAAAATACTTATTGGAGAGACATCGAGATCCGCTCGTGTGGTGGAAAGAATGCGAAAAATATATCCCCAATAGCTGAAATACTTAAAAATTATTTATGGTAATTATTGAAGGTAACAATAAGCTTAAACAGCAGTTCAGTATTGTCTATGCAATGTTTTCGATTGAAAACCTTTTTACTAAAAAAAATATTCCAACGAACTGATAACCTCCTCCTTTTTTGGAAGTCGGTCGGAGTCACTATGAGTATTAGTTTTTGTATTTGGGATTTTTAACGGAATAATGTTTGTTTCCAAAGTATCGACTATCGATCGATACTGGAAAGTATCGGAAATTTAAATCACTAACCGGCATTCATAGGGTAACCATCCGTCCTGTATTATACGGGACAGTCCTCTTTTTTGACCCATTGTCCTGTCAATTTATTTATTTTATACGGGACGCCAAATGTTCTGTATTTCTTTTAATGTCCTGTATTTGTTATGTATTCGGTGTTTCGACGCCATTACAGCTCATTAAAATGATATGCTTATGAACTAGTTTTAAGTGATGTTGGTATATGATCGTAATTTTCTCCATACACAGTTATTATTTTCTAATCTGAATGCCTGTGAAAAACCCTGGCGACTTAATGGGTATAGACTCGAATGTGTATGTGTGTGCATCTGTTAAATTAACATTAGGGTGGTACACCCGATAATTTTCTTTAAGTATTTGAATTAGCGTGGAGGCCTAAACATACCGGCCCCCTTGCTATAAGCAACGTTTCAAAGATGGTTCAGCCACCACACCTTACATTTACATTTATTTACATTGTAAATTATGTTCTTTAACTTTGTGAATTCTGCCGCAGATTGGTCCTTGCCCGGGGATCTAGTCCGCATGTTCTCCGGTCCTCCTTGCAATCTCTAGCTACGGGGAAAAATGGAAGAAAAAGCTAATAAGGAAAAAATGTGTGGTTGATCATTTCATTGCACTTTTATTTAAATTCGGTATGTATTCATGAATACTAAATATAAAATTTTAACTGTTTTGTCACATTTGGTGATCTCCTGATATAATCAGCCCGAACATGGAAGCTTGCGCCAGTAAACCGCCGATCGTTGTTGGCGGAGTGCCACATACCATGACCTGGGCGTATACATCAGCGCCAAGTGTTAGTCGAGTGGGGGTGGCCCGATAGAACTGTGGATCCGCCAGACGGATAAATTGAAACGGCGTCGCTATCGTTGGGTCGATGTTAGCCGCGGGGCTGAGTCGGTTGTATCGCGTAACTAGCCTGGCCTGGGTAATTACTCGTTCCGCGACCCCGTACTTTCCTCGCAGCACGAGGGAACATGTTTTCGCGCGGGCGTTGCTGACTTCGAGCTGAAGCTCCCGTGCTAGGTCCCTGTCGATGGTACTGCTGGGGGCGCAAGAGTCAATCAACGCCCGCACCAGATGAAGTCGGCCGCCTGACTCGATTCGTACAATTGCGGTTGGGGCGATGGCTACGAATGAGCGCATTATTGGTGCTGGAACCGCGATTGTTTTTAACTTGCCTGTCCGGAATCCACCCGATGGAATGCGTTGGATGGTGAGGGAGGAACGGTCGCCACGTCGGTGTCGTGCGGCCCTTATTGCTTGCCAACGCGACGAGCGAAAAGGACGAGTTTCCGCGCCATCACGCTGGCTGCAATTACGCTTGCGCCAAAATGAGCGAAAAGGACGAGTTTCCGCGTCATCTCGGTGGCCAGAATTGGTTCCGCGCCGATATGAGCGAAAAGGACTAGTTTCCGCGTCATTTCGTTGACCGCCCGTTGGCTGTGTGTGTGTGAGCACTGCTGGCATGGGACTGTCTGTTTCAAGTTCGTGCTGTAGCGGCGGTCGAATCTTGCGGGTTTTCAAGCCGCCGTCTGGTGGTGAAGGGATTATCTCTTCCCGTCTTTCCACCTCTTCTGCCTCTACCTGCTTCGCCCATGACATCGGTTGGTCGGAAACGTAGAGCGAAATCGCTCCGTCAGAGCCGTCGTCGTTATCGGGGTGATTTTCCGTCGTTTCCCTTGGATCGCCGTAGTCTTCAATATGCAGGGAGGTATGGTGCTTTTCGTCGCAGCGGTGGCATCGGTCATTGCTTCCACATATTTCTATCCGATGGAATGGCGACAAACAGTTGGGACAGTACCGATGTATCAAAATCGCCCGCAACCTTTCCTCTGCGGATTTCCCTCGGTATATGGGGCAGAGTCGTACTCCGTGGTTGTTACCGCACAACCGACAAGGAATCTTAAAATGATCGACACGTTTTTCGGTCTTAGTGCGGGTGGCCGTGAAGCGAGGCATTCTGTAAAGTTAAACCCCCTTTTTATCGCCGTATGCACAATTATGGTTCATTGTGTATTTTAAAACCTTAGCTGGGTGGCAAGTTATACATATATACATACGCATATTTAATTGCTAATGATTTACATTTCTTATTACTATTTTTATTTTACTTTATTATTATTATTTTTATTTTTTATTTTTTGAGGACTAATTCCATGCCCTGCAGTGTATAGTGGCTGAATAATAATTCGCTTATATCGTACACTAGGTGAGAGAATGACTATAGTGTGTTTACCTTGGCCTCCCACCCGAAAGAATAAACCGTTTCATTATTTGTTCGCATGGTGCGGGACTTCGCTGAATCGGTTCAACCGCTAGTGCTTATGAATGTGCTTGGTAGTATCACAACTTAATGATCTATTTTGATATTCCTAAGTTGGAGGGCACTTCGAAATTGATTAACTCATAATTTTATTAAAAGGAAATGCATATTTAATAAGCTTTGCTTTGTCCCGAGCAAATCTAAGGAGTTCGCCGGTATCGAGTTGCGTAGTAGATTTTCAGTTTACCGATCGTAGGGGAGTCCTAACCCTGGCTGCGCTGTCAACCAAGAGCGTAAATTGAACTTACGTTCTTACATTAGAGATGTGATGAGTCAACACATATGAGTACTCATACCTAGTCGGTACCGATGTTAAAGGTATCCGGGACTTTCGATATTCGGTGCCGAACATATGTAACAAAAACAATTTAGAAGCAAAGCTCATCAGTTGCGTGGGGGCGCTATCGTACAAAGTCGCATTAAAATAAGTGTATATATATATGTATATATATATATATATATATATATATATTGTACAGGATTCTTTGTGAACCCGAATCCATAGCCCTTTTAGAGAGCGAAGAAATGACATAAATTTAAAAATTAGTTAACAAAGTTTCAATAAAGTTATCGAGGTTTCGAAAACAACACTTAATGCGTTCTTTCAATGGGGATGAGCTCGAATTGAGGTTTTCCGAATAAAATACAACAATCATGCTTTTTATAAAATAAACTTTACTTTGCATATAGCGCGACCTTTCCGTTTTCAGTCATGGTTGTTGAAGTGGAGGAGTCTTGATTTTTTTTATTTTTATTTATTTATTTTTTTTTTTGTGATACCCTGTGCCAGACTGAGGCGGTGTTGCTTTCACATAGCGTAAAATTTACGATCATTGTTGACATTTCATTCATCGAATTGCAGCCTAAGTCAAGCATTTCCTGAATGACACGAGACGGTAAGTAGTGTATTTTTGTCAACAATATTTTAATTGAATATTTTTCACCTTCTACTTTCAGCTTCCGTTAGAAATATGTCACGGATACCATTCACGCAATTAAGCACCTCATCCTTGCACGTCAAAACCCAGTTGACCTGAAGGATGGATGGGGAATTCGTCGCATCGCGGAAGAATCGGCCGGACCGTATTCTCTAACTTCCACCGACGACAGCCCCTCGGAAAATATTTCTTCACTACGCGCAATAACGCAAAAGTTTAAATTCATAAATATGCCTATTAGCACATCCAACGGCGCGACAGAATCAGAAGCGGCAAAGGTGAGAGGTGCTCCAGATGGTGGTGATTGTACTAGTATTGAATGCGATCAAAATTCCGAAACCGAGTCTTGTCATGACCAACATGAAGCATATGGCATCGCTGAAAATTATGATGACCAGAGCGAGGAGTACACTTCTGATGATAGTGAATCGGAGGAGCAGTCGGTGGCTAAGCCGCTGGCACGCGCACGTATTGCCAATCCAATTGAGCTAGCTGCGACCGAAGATGTGCTGTCTTCCGTCAATTTTACTTGTTGTTAAACAAAAGGCGGTGCAGGTTTTTTTTCGTTTGTATTGTTAGTATATGTAATCTGCAGTCTTTTTGTTGAGGTGGATCTTCGCTGAGATTGCAAATTGAAGAATTCAGAAAACGTGTCAAAACTACTCCCATCAACAGTTGGAAACTAGCTAAAATTGAAACAAACTCATCACCAAGTACTCTAACCACAGAATATTTGGAGGAAATGGGTATTGGTATGCTTGACTCGGAAGAGAGCTCATCATCTGCGGCTTCATCAATTGCTCTTGTTCTGAGTGCAAGTGCAGATGAAAATTCGAATGGGGTTACTCCAAATTTGGATGCACCAAAGATGTGTCACAATCGTATTGCTTCCTACCGACATTTGGACAGTACGCTAGACAGTACGCTTAGCAGTGAAAATAATACAATAATAGGTAGCCCCAACATCAGCCATATTGGACCCGAGTGTAGTAATGCAAATCATCAACATTGCAATAATAATAACAAGAATACATTAGACTCCTTTGGTGACGAAAGCAAACAAACGTTGCTGCTGCAACAATGTCAATCTAAAAATGTAGATAAAGTATTACCTCAATATAGGAAAGTCGCTATACTTGGTGTGGGTGCAGGCAGTAGTTCGTCGTCCGCGTCTGCATTACAACCAAATGTTACAAATTCGAATTCCAACTCGCCTTCAGCAGGCAGAAGCACACGTAGTCCGTTGGCTACAGTTTCTGGCAACAACCATAATCGAACAGTAAGAAATGCTTCACAGCATGAGAGCATAGGAGGTAGTTCTCACATTCGTCTCCAGGAATATGTTCAGGAATCCGAGTCATGTGGCCCAATGTCTCGTATTCAGACAAGACCCTATTGTATTCTGTTTGTAAAGGTGGATCCTTTGCTAAACGCGTTTCACTTCGAAAAAATTGTGAGCAAGCGATCTTAAGTGACGGACCTAATCGTACGTTATTTGGAAAATCCTGTTTGAACGGCAGTGACACAATATATTTGCCTGCTTTATTCCGTTTAGTAGTGCTTTTATAAAGTTCCTCGCAATAGGTTTCATCTTTGTTGTAGGTCTTATTTCTTGGGATATCTTCCAATTCCCAAAAGGACGCTAAGCGTTTGTCTAAATTTATTTCGCTAAAAAATGATACGCACTTATTCGCTGGGGTACTTGTGTCAGTTTGACCGGTGAGAATCCAGCCGAAGACGGTTTCCTGAGCAAGAAGAGTTCCCAGTACGTCTTTCCTTATACCGCCTAGCATTATTTGTGCGTAAATGTCTCCACCGAGGACAAGATCAACTTGCTCACTTACAAAAAATCTCTTGTCTGCTAAAACTAACTCTGGAAACGCTTGCTTAGTCCTAGCATCGATTTGGCAAGCCGGTAGATTTCCAGTTAATTGTGGTAATACCAACACGGTGGTATCTATATTGATCAGTGGGTCAATTGGTGACCGCAGTTGTATGAAACACGCCTCTTTTACTTGAGCTGAGACTGTGTTATTTATTCCAGATACTTGAGCTTGTATCCTCCTCGAGGGCAGATTAATCCTACGCTTAAGTCTTTCAGTAATGAAAGAGCACTCCGATCCGGAATCTATTAGAGCGCGGGCCGAAAAATTTGTATTATTAAAATATATATTGACTCGGGCGGTCCCTAATAGAATTCCTTTGTTGGTATTAGCAAAGCAGGATTGGACATTTTGGGTTGGTCCTTTGTTTGCTTTGGTAGCATCGTGTCTTGCCTGAGCTTGAGCAGAAGTTGACGCGATGTTCTCTGACCCATCGGATACGTTTGTTTGATGCCTTTGGTTCATAGTTGCTTTTGGCTGAAATGCTTGAATGTGAAGGAGCGTGTGGTGTCTTTGGTGACAGACGCTGCAATTAAATGAGTATGTACACCTAGTCACAGTATGTCCAGAAGATAAGCAATTCAAGCAACCATGATTATTTTTAATGAAGGCGATTCTGTCTGCCGTTGTTATTTTAAGAAATTTTTGGCATTTTGACAGTTTGTGATTATTGCCTTTACAAAATTTGCACAGAATCTTGGCTACGCTTGCTTGGTAGGCCCCGTGCCTTTTCTGAGTTTCATTGTTTTTGCTATTTTGGGGCTTTGAAAATCGAGGGTGTCTTACAGCTTTAATATCTGATATTGTTTCAAGTGTTTGAAACCTATTAGAGAGGAATTTATCCATATCCTCCCACTTGGAAATTTCGGTTTTATTTTCAATTGTTTGTTCCCAAAGAGCCAACGTACTCTCTGGCAATTTCGTGGAGCAGAGATATGTAACGATGGCGTCTCAATTGGATACGTCAATTTGATGACATCGCAAAGCCGATAAACAATTATTAATATTTCGCTGTAACTTTTTTAATGAAGTACCGCACTTACTTTCTACTGACTCTAGGTTAAAAAGAATCTTTATCTGCGAATTCACTAGAATGCGTTTATTCTCGAACCTATCACAAAGGTTTTTCCATGCAGTATTGAAGCCCTCGTTTGTAACATCACATTTGCTAACTATCTCTTTGGCCTGAGTTTTCTGGTTCAAATGAAACAACTTTTCTACAGGAGTGAGGCGCTTATTATTGATATAAATGGCCGTAAACATGTCACGGAATGTAGGCCACGAGAGATAATCGCCTTTGAACACATCCGTATCACACGGTGGGAGATGGATGTTGTGTTCTCTGGCCGACATATCCTCGGTATCTTTGTCACTTTTGACGAGCTTCGAATGGAGTTCTGCCATGTTCGACATGCAGCGCAGATAAGTAGAATAGGTACTTTTATACTTAGCCTTCACTGAGGCTGATTTTGCTTCTACCGCACCTGAACTTAAATACTCTTCGTACGCTATCTTTGCTTTCCTCCACATGGCTTTCAGTTCCTCTTGCTGGATGGCAAGAGTGTATTTTGTGTGCTCCGTTTCAGTCATGCTATTGTAGTCGGCCTCAAACTCAGGCACAACATCAGCTAATCGGATAAATGTTTCCATTTTTAGGATCCTAATGAAAATAAGTTACGAGAGCACTTCGAAAATTATAACTTTCCCAAAGTTTTAAGCGAATAAACCACCACAATCAAATAAGTTAACACCGCAATTTAGGTGCAAGTTCGCACGGATATCAAATTATTTATTAAATATCAAGCGTAATATATGTATGTAAATATATGTATTTATGTATACTCGCGTACACTAATGAAAATCTTCTAAGATTACAGGAACTGATACTCGCCACCCAACTCTCAGCGAAATATTTGTGTATAAATGTGAAATAATTCCACTGTGCTACGCATATATTATTTTTGTTGATTAATCGTTCAAAGTGATCTTGTGGATGCAGAATTGCAGAAGTTAAAAAGTGTCCCAATGTGAAACCAAATGTGTGTAACAAGTGCAGTCACAAGTGAGGTTATGTATCCTCAACTCAGTGAATTGTTGTTAGTGCCGATGATTTGACCAATTAACAAATGCTTGCAACACGATTGTTTGAAAATATTGAAAGCAAACTCGATGTGAAAAATAATAAAATCGATGTTTTGCAAATTTGAATAAGTGATTTTGAAAACACGAAACTAAATATAATAAAAAAACAAAAAAAAAAACTTGTAAAAAGTGTGCTCGCTATAAATTAAGGTTACACTAACAACTGAGGTGGTGTTAAGCACAGAAAAATCTACTCTAACCCACACTTGTGTATTGCTGCAGATATTTGTCTACAACGTTATTTACTAATTAAGTGCGAAAGAACACAAAAAGTGATATCAATGCACTGATGATTTCCACAAGATCACTCGCGATAATTTTGGATATGCGCAGGTTTTTGGTATTTTAAATATTTGCCGTATTACGTATACGAGAATGTGCAAGAAATTTGAAATGTCAACCACATACCTTTAAAACTCCTGAATGTTTTTTAATGTGGTGCTGGTGCTTAATTTGGGTGTTGTGTACTGATGTGGTACGTTCCCGACTTATTGTAACTTCACGCTGGTGTTTGTGGTAATTCTCCAGTTGATGCTGGCGGACGGTTGTATGCGCAGATGTAATAATCTGGAGACCGCTAGTGACCCTTGACCGCTGGTATATTCAAAGAATGGCGCCTTTGTTTAGCTGCAGTGGACTGTATTTGCTTTGCTCTGGTTAATTATAGTTCCTGGCGAAGATGGACCATGAAAAACCCTGGCGACTTAATGGGTATAGACTCGCTAAGTGCACCAGTGTTTTTTATTGGAAAAATAAGAAAACAAAAGCACCAGGTTTTAGTTTGAAATACAATTAAGTTTGACGGTTTATTTAATAGGTATATTAAAATTCAAGGGGGCTTACAATATTACCTTGATTATGAAGTGGTGTGGTGGCGGAACGTCCGTAATCGCTGGTGATTGAAATCCAATAGAAAGTTTAAAAAGTTAGAAACTGAAGTCGAACCCTCTAAACGGTTTGAAGAGTTCCGTTTTCAGGGGAAATTTAACGAAAGTGCACTGACAGGAAAAGTGCAGTTTTTTCTTTTTGTCTTGTTTCACATACGAATGTGTATGTGTGTGCATCTGTTAAATTAACATTAGGGTGGTAAACCCGATAATTTACTTTAAGTATTTGATTTAGCGTGGAGGCCTAAACAGCCTGTGTTTCAATTCGAGGAATACATACAGTGACCAAAATATAAATTAGGACTCAACATTTTAGCAAGGTTTGGCTATTTTTCCTTAGTTTATTTAATGTTACTCATTTTTTATGAAAGTAAAGCTCTTTTCCTAAGAAAAGCCATATAATACTGTTTAGGCGCGACTGCTAATACCAGGCGTATAAATCTATTTTGTTGTTGTTGTTGTTTTTGTTGTTGAAACACGAAATTTTTGCACATGCACTTCTCAACTGCCATGTAATAACACTTTCTTAAGTTATAAATTGATACCAGTTCAAAGTATGCTCGACGTAGTTTGACGCATCCTCCGGATAACCATCCGGAGTTTTTTGCGGACTCTTCATGGCTTACAACCAAATGGATGTATAGAATTGACAACAACAACCACGCTGTCAAGTTTAAATAGCGGAAAATCAGCTGCACTTGAATTATGAATGAATTAGCAACAACGGTTTACGGGGTGGACATAGCTCAGTGGTTAACACTTCTGACTTTGCACATCGATTACGCAGGTTCGATCCCTGCTGAAGTCTAGAAAAAAGAAGTCTGATGAGGAGATGTGGTGATCTCCGAAAGAGCTACTATAACTTCTACCGCTTAGACTTTGTGCTTTTGCAATTTTTCCTAATAAACAATCGTAGTACAAAGCTCAATAAAAATACTAAAAATCAAATATTAAAAAGCCAAAATAACATTGACAAATACGTGATAAAAATATTTACAAGGTACAATCGCTGTGAGCCAGCTTTAGGAAATTTGACGTTTGTTAGCATTTTTGAAAATTTCTCTCGCCGTCATTTCATTTGTTTGTTTTTTTTTTCACTCAACCCAAAGAAATATATTTCTGTCGAAACAACAAAATTTGAATGTACATTCACAGATATGTTTATATGTATGTATGTATGTACATATGTAAATAAATAAATGTAAGCAATTGTGTGTAAAGAATTTCTGCCCACATGCTAAGGCGCAGATTTTGGCATTCATTTAAACAAATTTAACCTTAAAGCCACTGCACTTTTGCCAAGAACTATCTTGGGTCAAGTGGTGTGGAAAAAAATTAGCCTAGTGCATATGGGCACTTGGGAAAATCCGCTGCCTTAACACCACAAACTTCGAAAATTTTTTGCGTACGTACGGTAATTGCGAGAATTTAAAGAATTTTATACTGCTTTGCTTGCAGAAAAAAACGATATTTGCGCAGCCGCTAAAGCAGCATCTCATTTTCCTTCTAAAATTTTTTAAGTTTTCCCACATTTGAATAAATAAATTTTCAAATCATAAGTTTTCATATATTTATTTTGAATTTATTTGACATTTGAATTATTTCGAGAGAGTAAACTCAAAATGCTAGCAAACCCAATGGCGGACGAATTGAGCGAGCGGTTTTACCTTTAAATATTTTTATCATGCTTGCAACCATGCAGAGGTGGTAAATTAACTTTACCACTGGCCACAGTGCCTACCCACTTTTTACTTAAATAAATAACCGATGCTCGGCCTGGTCTGATGCATGCTCCGGACAATGCTTCCGGAGCCATTTGCGGACTCCGCATGACTTACAATCTTGCAGAGGTGATAAAAAAACTTTACCATTGGCCACAGTGCACCAATATTTTTTTTTTTTTATATAAATACATAACGTAGTTTAAAGTACAAAACCGCGTATCAACAAAATGCAAAAGCACGTATCGAGATAATGCAAAAC